AAAAAATGTGACCACAAATTTAAAAATTAAAATGGATAAATTTGTCAGTAAAATTAAAAAATTTTAATCCGCTAGTAATTTGATACAAAAAATTACATAAACTATTTTTTTCAATCCACTAACGATTTGGATCATAACTGCTATCCGCTAATCTCAAACCGTTAAATAAAAATTTTATCAAACAATTTATTTGTAACGGTTTCAAAATATATAAATTTATTAAACACCTATATTTAGCGGTTTAAGTAAAATTACTAACCGTTACCCCAAAACCGCTATATCAAACGGGTCCTAAATATGGTTTTCTGAGTCTAAATCTTGATTTTTGTTTCAAGGTTTCAGTGTCTTCCTGCGGTGAGGAAAGCATTATGGGCTGAAGAGAAGGAGCGAGAGGAAGCCATTGAAGAAGCATAGGAATGTTTAAAGGTACTTGAAGGTGCGTTGAAGGACAAAAAATTCTTCGGAGGAGAGACAATTGGGTTCGTAGATATTGTTAGTGGTATTATTGCCTTCTGGATTAGGGCATTTCAGGAGGTCGTCGGAATTGTGCTGCTGATGGTGGAGAAGTTCCCTGTTTTATTCGAATGGAGCGAGGAGTATGTTGCGTGTCCCATTATCAAGGAAAATCTGCCTCCTAGAGAGGAAATAATGGCCTTTTTGAAGACTCGCCTTCTGAAGGCCAAATAATTGATTCCTCTATGTCATGTTTGTGTCAAGTTAGGGGACTTTTCGTTTCTGTAATCTCAAATTTACCAAGATGTTTCAAGAATGTAGTTGCTCTGGTTTTTGAAGTAATGCACCCCAAAAAAATATCAGTGATGATTGTAATACTGTAATAAACTATCTGGTTATGAAATTTAGAATCTTCCTATAATCATAGGGTATTGTAGTGTCATATGCACGGGTGCATATCAAATTACGAGATTTGATTCATTAATTAAATAAATAAAATTATAATTATTGTCATAAATTTTATTGTGAAATAAGATTCTACATTAACCAATGACCTGTTAATCCGAATGAAAAGAGCTCGATTCTCATTAAATAAGGTTTTGAGTTTGAGTTTTATAAATGAAAAAACAAGCGCTTGGAGAGTTTCTCCCTAATGAGATCCGACGCGACTCAATTTTGGATTAATCGAGATCAAATATGATTATCAAATACCGAGAGATTAATAAAAAAAAAAAGATTCTACATTATTATTTTTTATTAATGCCCTTTTCATTTCTTTCATTCATGAGGTGGTCTCCTGTTACAATGGATTTGGTAATATACTGTGTCAATGACATTTTTATGCATTGTCTTTGAGGGGATGTAATTTGAGATAATTTTGAGATTGATAGAGGGAGAGCTGAAAAAAAGGGGAATGAGTGTATTCTGTTGTATAACACTATAACTCATAATTAAATATAACAAAAAGAATTGATATATTGTTAATAGTAAGATCCTACACAATAAAAAGAAGGGCTGGATGACTAAAAGTAGGACTTGTTAGCTGACTAATAATGGGACTTTTTTTGCTATTATCCAATATGAAAAAATGTTTATGACTTGACTTTGTAAAAAAAAGGATTATGGGCATTGAAAATGGACTATTAAGACTTCTTTTAATATGACTATGATTTATGATTTTTAGCTTTAATTTTTAAAATTAACAATTAAAAACTAAAATCACTAATTTATTTAGAGAAAAAATGAGTATAAGTTCGACTTTCATTAAAAAAAAAATTAAAGTTTTAACTTTAAAAACCTTTACACTTCAATGAATATTTTTAAAAATTAATTGTTAGATTTAATGTTTTATTAATATAGATTATGTACATTAATTTTTAAGTTAATTTGACTTTTATAATCATTTGATCAAAAATTTTATTTTTTTAATATATATTAAATGGTGATAAATTTTTTATGATTAATGAACTAATTATATATATTTAATTAATCTAAGAATCAACATGTGTGATTTATATAAGTAAAATACTAAATCTAACAATTAATTTTTAAAAATATTTATTAAAATGTAGTATTTTTGAAGTTAGAACTTTAATTTTTTTTTAGAGTAGAAACTAATATAATTTTTTAAAACTTATACTCAAAACTAGAGATTAATTAATGTATAAAACTCACTAATTTTATGTTAAAATTTTTAAACTTTAAAAAATAAAAATAAAAACTTATACCATACTAATCGAAGTGTCAAGTGTGGCAACTCAGCAAATACAGGCGAGACATTGGACTGCTGTACCAAAGGTAAACTCGTACTACAAGGATTTAACCTTCTTTCGATAACACCTCTAATTGTTTTATTTTTATGTTTTTTATATTTTTTATTATTTTTAAAATAT